GTACATCGGCTCCATCCCGTCCGGCTTCCCCCCGATGAGCATCCACCTCTGGGACCTCGGGAAGGCGGAGAGCCATCCGCGCGCGCGCGCGCAGGGGCCACGAAGGGGCGATCCGCGGGAGGTCCCCCCTGCCGCATCGAGGGCTAAGTCGGGCCCGTCCCCCCAGAGGGGGATCCTCGACGAAAAACAAAAGATACCCCAGAAATAGTCAAAACATAGTCCAAAAATAGTCTGGGGATTTTTTTTTGTTTTTTTTGTATTGTTTTACCTTCTTGGTGCATTTTGGGGGTATGTTTTATTTTTCGTCGAAAGCCCCCCTGTAGGGGGACACGCCCGACATAAATCTAGGGGGGCCACACGCGAACCCTGCCCCTGCCCCCCACGATTTCTGAGGGGGAGGGCGGGGTAGGGTTCGCGTGTGGCCCCCTAGTAATCCTGCCCCTTCCTTCCGCAGCGGCCTTGGGCTCAGAAGTCCTGGCCGGATCGACCCAGGGATAGAAAGTCAGCCACGCGAGGATCGGTGGACTGCGAGACACCTGCGTCGTTTGCGCATTGCTTGCAGTATCACGGGGCTGCGTGCAGGCACTCCTCCAGCAATAGAGTCTCGAACGAAGTCCCGACGAGAACGCACAGTCAATCGTCCGACTTCTGAGCCGCGATGATGGCAATGGAGGCATCAGCGCGTTTACCCTTGAGAATCCACGCGTGTGAAGACATGAGTTGCTCGTTGCGTTTACCGCCATCGCTGCACACCAACAGTCTGAGCTCTGAATCAGCCGTAAACTGAGTGCAACAGTACAAAGCCGCCCTCTGTGTCCATGGCCCAAAATTCGCTTTACAATCCGCTTCTTTGCTGAAGTCCCTCCACCTCCGTAAGACTGGATCGCCTGTTACTTCCCGTGCCCCCCAATTCAGAGCGAGGAGCGTTTCCGCGATGTTCATCGCAATGTCAACTATGAGGACGCACGCATGATCGTCATGTGTCGTTCTGCCGCAAGTATGCAAGAATATTTGGCTGTCCGTAACAATGTGTACTGTGCGAGCGCGCCATAGAGATAAGTTTCCATATATTGCGCCAGCCCTCCAGGCATATCCCAGTCATTATGTCAATGCTGCGTGTTCAAGTGTTTTGCCTGTTTTCTCAGTTTCTTCGCGTTCCCTGCGGTGGTCGGCGTGGAGCCTGGTGTTGAAATACAAGGCCTCGTGCTCAAACCCACGTGGTCGCCGAATGTCCCGGATTGCCAACACTAGCCGGCCGCTTTGCGGTTGATCGGGAGTTTCTGTACACACAGAGGGAAGGGCGTGTGCTTGTGGGCGTGTGCTTCTGGCATCCAGCCTTTCCCGCCCCCATGCTGGCAACCTCCACCTCCTCCACATCCTCTCAGGAAATCCCGTGAGGTCCCTTGAGGTCGTTCTTCCTCCGCCTCCTCCACCTCCTCCGACTCTCCTCCAACTCCTCCTCTTCTTCCTCCTCCTCCTCCTCCTCCTCCTCCCCCTCCTCCTCCAACTCCTTCAAGTCTCCTCCCTCCTCCTCCGCCTCCTTTCCCTCCCTTTCCTCCTCCTCCTTTTCCTCCTTTTCCTCCCCTTCCCCCTCCTCCTCCCCTCCTCCTCCTCCTCCTCCTCCTCCTCCTCCTCCATTCCTCCGTCCTCCTATGTTTTCCTCCCTGCTCATCCTCGTCACTGAAATAGGATGCTCTGCCGCCGTTTGGCTTCAGCGCAGGCGCGTACCTTTATGATGTGCGGAGAGCATAAGCACTGGAATGAACACCTTATTGCCGCCATATTGTCTTCCGTACAACTTCCAAACCCAGCAGTTCTAGTTGGTAGCGAAGCTGGGAGCGATCCCAGCTCGCGGTCCACAGAACCTGCGCATAGTGCGGTGTGGACGCACATTCGCATTGACTTCCACCTCCGCATTGTACCACCCTCCATTCCTTGAGCAGCCTGTGCTCATGGTTGTTCTGCAAACCGACTGGCAATTTGCCCCGGACGCCCACTGGTCTGGTTGCGGGGGCATCAGCAAAAGGCACAATCGCGATGAGGAGTGATTCGCCCACCAGAAACACCATGACGTTCCGCGACCCGTCGCAACCCCACAGGCACTGGCCGCAGTTTCGCGTCCCGCATGGTTGCGCGGCTCTTCCTTGGGCTAGTGCCGTGCTTCAGTATGTGTGCGATAGTGCTGGTTTTCCTTGTGAGCACATCGCACCACCCGGATGGAGCACTGAAGGCTAACGCACCAATTTTACCGACCTCGGCTTCCACCAGGGTTGACGGCATCACCATGGCATATCACGGCTGCCCCGTAGTTTGATATGGCGTTCGTCCCTGCGCAGGCCCGAGCTCCAAGGCGCCTCCGCAGCCATCATCGTGGTGAGGTCTTATCGAGGAGGATATCCATCTTGACGCTTTGGGGCTGCATCCTCGTGTTCTCCGTGGCCGTCCTGTTCTGGCCCGCCTGCATGGTGCCTGGTGGAGCAGGCCCACAGGGCGGCGGCGGCCGCGGCGGGGTCACTTCCCGCCAACCGACCTCATGGTCGCCCGAGCGCGAGTATGTGTATTATTTCCGCCAGTGGGTACAGGACTTGCTCGTTTTGATCGTGCTAGCTACCGACACGGACAGCGCCAAGTAAAGCGCCGCCGTTCTCCTCTATTTCGGTGGGGCCGCTCGCGAACTCACGCGCTCCATGAATTTCGCGGAGATGACGGGGGGAGGCATGGTCAACAGCCAGCAAGAGGACTCCGTGGCCTACCTCATCGCAAACCTCGTCACGCAGTTCTGTCCAATAGGCGAGGAGTCGCACATCCAGGCTACCCCCGATTTCTTCGAGTTCTCGTGGCGCCGCAACGGAACCGCTGACGCGCTGCTCTCGCGGCTTCTCACGCTGCGATTCCTAGCTACGCACAACGGTGGAGCTGCGATGTCTTGGGGGGGCTACAGCTGGCTGCTCCGAGCGGTCGGCGTCGCAGCTAGCCAACCCATGACGGTACTCCAGCCACGCGGCAACCGACGCCCAGCCACGGAGGCCGAGTCCAACAGTCTCACGGCCATGCTCAGGCGCGTGGGCCACCGAAAAACATCGCCAGCGCTCTTCGGCGCCACCATCGTTCGGTTCGTGGGGCATGACCAATGACAGCAGTAACGACGCACCTGCTACGCACCCCTGGCACACTCAGCCTCGACCCCTGGGCTGCCAGCGCCGCCGAGCTTCCCGGTGCCGGAGGTGCTAAGCCCGTCGCAGAGCGCCGCTCCGCCGCGGGCATCCTTTCCCGCCGCCGCGTGGGCGCCCGCGGACGTGGCCGACTGCGTCAGTGGAACCTCCTCAGACACCAGTTCGGGCCCAGGCGGAGAAGTCAACTACCAATCGCCAGAGCTTCAAGGATTCATCCCTGCCCAGATAGATGAGCAGTCGTTCTGGCTTGTAAAAAACTGTTAAACGTCGGTGGCGAAGACACACGCTACGCGCAAGGCGCTTAGAGACAGCAAGAAGAGCAACAACACCTTCACCAGAAAAGGCAAAGGCAATAGTGCCCAGAAGTAGGCATATCTCTTGGAGGTTTCAGACACTCGAGTCGATATTCAAGTAGATACGCAAGTAGATACTCAAGTAGATCAGGTCTTCTGTGTTGGGACACGACAAGGCACAAGCAAGCGCTCGCCAGGCAAATCATGACGTGTAGCATCTGTGGGATCGAGTACCACTTCGCGCTGAGTGCCCGCAAGGCAACGCATCCTCACCTCAGGGCAGCGGCAGCGGCGGCCAGTTCGGAGGTCACGCAAACCCTGGACTTTTAGACAGAGCCCCAGGCAGGGACCCCGGACAAGTTCACGAGGCGCGCCCCCTGACCCCCCCCCCCACACACACACATATATATATATATATATATATATATATATAAACACACGCACGCACGCACGCACGCACGCACGCACGCACACACGCACACGCACACACGCACGCACACACGCAGACGCACACGCACACGCACGCACGCACGCACACGCATACACACACGCATACACACACACGTACACACACAAACACACCCACGCACGCACGCACGCACGCACGCACGCACGCACGCACGCACGCACGCACGCACGCACGCACGCACGCGCGCGCACGCACGCACGCACGCACGCACGCGCGCGCAGGAAGTCCCCGGACGGCGCGAGCCTTTTTTTTCCCGCCGGGGCCCCGTTCCGCCCGCCCCGCTGCCGCCGAAGCCCCGTTGCGCGAGGTCGCGTCGCCCCGCCGAGGCCCTGCGCTGCGGTCTGCACAGCTCCGCCGCCCGCCCGGGGCTCCGTGTCCGTCGTTGCGGCTCGGGCTCGCCCCACCGTTTGTTCCCTACGTTCCCTGCCGGGGTGGACCTATACACGGTGTCTTGGCGATTTCGTGGGCCGTTCCCGTTTCGACTTCGTCTTGCGTGAACGGCGCATCGGAGACAAAACGAGGGAACACGAGAACAAGACGAGAACGACAAAACACCGTTTAGGTTCAGCCCTGGTTCCCTTTTCCTCACGTCGGCGGCGAGCGGGTGGGGGAAGGCGAGAAGGAAAAAACCTTCCCAGAAGGCGGCGGGGCTTCTCAGAAGCCCTCGGGCCCTCTGTGAGAGGTTCTCTGGGTCTTCGGGGAAGGCACAGAGAGCTTCTCGGAAGGCCCCGGGGACTGCCGAGCCTTCTGACAAGGCCCGCCCCTTCTCACTCCCGCCCCGGGATCACCGCCGAGCACGGCGGTCATCCGCGCGGCCGTCTTCCGCCCAGCCTGTCTCTGCCGAGCCTTTCTTCGCCAACGTAGTTCGTGCATCCGTTCCTGGCGCGCGAGACCTGGTGTGCAGCCACAGGCTCACTTGCGTACCCCTGTCCGCTGGCCTTGTTTGAGCCAGCTCCAGGGATCCTAATCATGCCACCCTTGGCCCGTCCTGCTTGTCCTTCGTCCACAGGGCTTCGACGGGGTGAACGTCTGGTATGAGCTGAGCGATACGTTAAAAAAGGAAGGTCGCGCCTGTCTGTCAGGCACGCTGGGGATCCAGAACTCACGAGTGGCCAGGCCGACGACGATGCCCCAGAAATGAGCCAGCCCAATCCTAGATTGCAGTCGGGCCTGTCCCTCTACAGGAAGAACGTTCAATCATAGTCAAACAATAGTAGGGGATGCTGTTTTTTTTGCTATTTTTTTAAACTTTGGGGGCATTGTTTTGCGTATTTTTTGTTTTTTCGGCCCAAATCCGCCGGTGGGGGCACACGCCCGACCTGATGCCAGACACGCGAGCGCAGCGATTGACGCCGCGCGTGGGCCCCGATCGCTCGCTGTTCCGCCGCAGCCGTTTGGGTTCAGAGCCGCCTGCGAGTCGGGACCTCCGCCCTGGGCATACACAAGGGGGCTACATGCGAACCCTACCCCTACCCCCCACGAGTTCTGAAGGGGGAGGGTAGGGTTCACATCGTTCGGGAGCTCCCGAGCGAAGTGAGCCCCACCCTCCCCCTCAAAAATCGTGGGGGCTAGGGGTAGGGTTCGCATTCGGCCCCCCGAAACAGCCCACCCGTCTGGCTGCTGGCCGCCCCCGCGCGCATCTCTCCGGAGGCCCGACGTTGCGAGCAAAAATGCGGCGTCGCGGGAAATTGCGACGAAGTCGGGCCTGTCCCTCTACAGGAGGAATATTCCAAAATAGTCAAAAGATAGTCAGGGGACGAAGTTTTGACTATTTTCGACCATTTGGGAACATGTTTGGGGGTATTTTTGTTTTTCGTCCAAATCCCCCTATAGGGGACATGCCCGACTAATAGTTACGACTGGACCCCCAGACCCAATCTTCTTGCGGCGGCATGTTTCGAGATGGATCGAACTATGGTGGTCCCAGACCGGGCAGCTTCCAGCGGCATTCTTCCGAGCTGAATCGTTCGGCGGTTTTGGGGCAAGAGCCCGGGCGAAAACGCCCAGTGTGCAAAAGTTGCACGGCGCGGATCTCAGGGCCAGCGCGACTCCGTGACCGACGAGATGGCGTGCATGAGCTTCCTCGGGTGCCACTCCGGGCTCTTCTCCTCCGCCCTCCCCAGCGCCGCGGCCAAGCATCGGAGGCCTGGAGGTTGGCAGCATCACCAATGTGGGTGGTGTGCCTTCACCGAGGGAAGTGGATCCCGATCTCGGCATGGTGGTAGCGTTCGGGGTCCTGGGTGCCCGAAGACTACCACCATCACCAGAGTCCAGGATCAGCTTCCCTCGAGGCACCCCCCTTCGTGCAGTTCCGTCTTCAGAGTGCATGAGCATGCGCTAGGGATTGATAGTCGATGAGAAGCGCCGATTTGGTGTCGATCAGCGTCGCGTTAGCGTCGAGGAGTGTCGGTCAGCGTCGATTCGCAAGAGCCAGCAAGATGGCATGGGAGGCTCCCGTGAGTTGCCACAGATTGGCGGCGACCCTGAGAGGGGGCAGGCCTTCTCAGAAGGCGGCGGGACTTCTCCAAGGCGCTAACGCCTTCTGAGAAGTTTTCTGCGTCTATGGGGAAGGCTTCGAAAGCCTCTCGGCAGGCCCGAGGCCTTCCGAGCCTTCTGAGGAGGCCCGCCTCTTCTCACCTCCCCGCCAGGCTCGCCGCCGAGCAGAAGTTGGTGTTGGTGATCGTTTTCTTATTCATTGTTTTGCCGATCGGCGTGGGCCCTCGCACCCGCCCACCCTCCCCCTCCATGGAGCAGCTCTTGGCGGTTTGGGGCGCCTGTTTCGAGCAGGTGGAGCCTCCCCGACGGGACGCACTGCTGCAGACAGTCGCGCTGAGCAGAGGTCCGGAGCCAGAGGCCCCCCCCCCCGCCGCCTCCTTCCGCCCAGCGTCGAAGCGCCGATTAACAAGAGAACGCTCACGAGTCGGCGTTCGTGCCTTCCTTCCTGCTCTCTCTTTCCTTCTTCCCAGTATCTTGGTGCCAGTTTGCTGGTCGAGCTGCCCGGTCCGGGCTGCGACCGCCTAGATTGCCACCGAGAAATCTCTCCACTTGCAGCACCACGTATGTTGGGAAACGAGGATGCCGCCACACAGCAAACAAAAATCCGAGGCCCGAAAACCATCATCACTTCACTGATTTTGGGCCCCAGGGCCCACTGAGTCCCCAGGGGCCCCAGATTGGTGAAGCGATGTTTCTCCCCACGTAAGGACCCCGAAATGCATCACCTCACTAAACCGAGCCCAGGACGAAAGTCAGGGGCCGAATTGCTGCTGTGATGCCACATCGGCCTCGTAAAAAAAAAAAAGTTGGCGTTCGTGCCCGCCTCCACGCCTCCGGGAGCAGCCCGAGGAGCAGGCGGAGGGCCAGCGCCCCGCCGCCGCCGGCGAGGCCCAGCCCCTCGCGGAGCCCGCGGAGGCAGCCGCCGAGGGCGCGGCGGACGTGGGCGCGCCCGCGCAGGAGGCGCCCACCAAGGCCAGGGGCGTGGCCGGGTGCTTCCCCACGGCGGGCGGGGTCGGACGAAGGGGTCGATGGCGCCAAGGGCATTGGCTGCGTGGGCTGAGGGGCTCACCCCTCCTTTTCCTCCTCCTCCTCCTCCTCCTTTTCCTCCTCCTCCTCCTTCTCCTTCCGCCTTCTCCTCCTCATCATCATCATCCTTTGCCTCCTCCTCCTCCTCCTCCTCCTTTTCCTCCTCCTCCTCCTTCGCCTCCTCCTCCTCCTCCTCCTCCTCCTCCTCCTCCTCATCATCATCATCATCATCATCATCATCATCGTCATCATCATCATCATCATCATCATCATCATCATCATCATCATCATCATCATCATCATCATCATCATCATCCTCATCCTCATCCTTATCCTTCTCCTTCTCCTTCTCCTTCTCCTACTCCTTCTCCTTCTCCTTCTCCTCCTCGTCCTCCTCCTCCTCCTCGTCCTCCTCCTTTTCCTCCTCCTTCGCTCTCATCCTCCTGCTGCTCCTCCTCCTCTTCCTCCTCCTCCTCCGCCTCCTCCCTCTCCCCCCCTCACTCCCCCCTGTTCCTCCTCCTTTCCTTCCCCCTCCTCCTCCCCCTCCTCCTCCTCCCCTCCTCCTCCTCCTCCTCCTCCTCCTCCTCCTCCTCCTCCTCCTCCTCCTCCTCCTCCTCCTCCTCCTCGTCCGTAGCCATTTGGGCTCGAGTGTTCTGCACTCCACACGGTTTCGTTTTCGCGATCCCTGTCCTCCAGGATTGCTGTCTCGCCATGGCTCGCAGCGGGCGTGGTGGGACGGATGGCGCCGAGGACGCCTCCAAGGTTGCTTGGGCGGCGGTGCTCGACGCGGTGCTGGCGTCGGGCGTGCGGCGTGCGATGCGGGGCCACCTGCTGCGATGTGCAGTGGAGGCGGCTGCTCGTGAGGCCGTGAGCTCCTGCCGCCAGGGCGATGCGCCCTGCGCGGCGTGCAGCATGCTAGAGGGCTTCGAAGCTACGCTCGAGCATGCTGGGGAGCATATGGGTGTGCAGGGCAAGGCGACCACGGAAGATGTGCGGCGTGCCCTCCGCTCTATCGGCCAGCACTCGTTGGCCGAAGAGTGGGAGGCCCACCGGGCGGGCCGCCGCGCGCTGGCTCATCCTGGGGCTGCCGTGCCTGAGCGCGTGCGTGCTGCGCTAGCCAAGGGTGGCACGCCCCACATGATCGACAGCCTCAAGTCCGACGACGGCTTTGTCGGCAAGGGCTCGTTCGTTGACGCGGAGGTGGAGGCGCCTGAGAGTACGCTGGAGGTGGATAGCCTGACAGCGGACGCGGATGTGGTGCACGGCGGCGGCGAATCGTCAGAGGGCGATGGCACGCTGCTGAGCACGAAAGAGGCGCAGGCTGTTCAGGACTGCGCTGTGGGAGCGGCGGCCGACAAGTTCGAGCCGAAGTTGGGCGGCAAGCTGGTGGTCAACGCCTTCCGTATCCAGGAGCTCGAGGACAAGTTGCGGGTCTTGCAGACTGACGTGGAGGCGCTGCTGCTGCACCGTGCAGCTGGCCTACAACCTGTCCTGGCGAGTACAGCCTAGAGCACGGACCAGGCGAAGGATAGGAACCAGGTCAGGGACGAGCTCAAGATGGTTGCTGACGTGCACTCGGCTCTCGCGGAGGAGGCCGACGGCACGTGCGTTGTCGCCAATCGTCTCAAGGTCGCGGAGCTCATGCGCTACCACACCTCGAAAACGGGAGACGACACAATCAGCTTGAAGGAGTACGTGGCCCGCATGCAGGAGGGGCAGGACGACATACATTACATCACGGGCAAGGGCACCGCTGACATGCTCGCGTCGCCTGGCCTGGATATGTTGCGGAAGAGGGGCTTGGAGGTTCTTTACATCACCGACTCCTCGTACGAGTATGTTGTCCAGCAGCTGGATAATTTTAACGGCAAGAGGCTTGTGGCCGTTGAGCAGAATGGCCTCGAGTTGGTGAGTGAGGACGCTGGCAAGCTACCTGGGCATGGTGGTCGAGTAGCTTCGTGGGCGGACGCCGAGTTCGGCCCAGGGGACGAGCGCCACGACGCCGCTGACGACGTGGAGGCCCAGCGCGCGCAGAACCAGCATCGCGGCGCTTCCGCCGATGAGCTGATGGAGGGCATGCGGGTCGCGGTTGTCGAGGAGTTCAGCCGCAAGGGGCGGGACAAACGGGCCCGTGTCCCAGTCGGCCTCGTCGGAACCGTGGTGCATGTCGACAGTCCCGCTGAGAATGCCATCATCCAGTGGGACGATCCGACGCTTTGCGGGGAATTGGCGTTTCGGCCATGCCGCGTGCGCAATGGAGAATGCTGAGGGTATCGACCGCACAGAGCCTTGGCAGCTTGCGTGCTCCGTAGTGCCTCGGCGCGGCCCCCGCTCTGCCTTGCTGGATTCGCTTCGTCTTTCTGGTTGGGCCTCGGGGCGTGGGGTCGCTGGGGTTGGTTTTCGCCCGTGGGGCGATGGCTAGCCCCTTCTGGGTCGGGGCGGCCTCGGGAGGCTGCTGGGTGGTCGCCCGTCCGTCCCCGCGGGGGTGGCGTTCCTGCCCCACGGGCCGTCTTCGGAGGGCTTAGGCGGTGGGAATGCCTGTCTGGGCGCTCTGGTCTCCTGGGTTCCTTGGCCCCTCGTCGCCTCGGGCTTCCGCGGCGTCTGTGCGGGGGGGGGAGGCCTGTCGGGCTCCGTCGTGGCCGCCTGGCTTCGATGGGAGCTGTCAAAAATGTGATGCCCCCCCCCCCCACCCCCCCCACCCGCTAATTCCAGGATCGTGCGTTTCATTCCAGGTCCTGTCAAGTCCTTCACCCTTGAGGGCATTACAGATACTAGCTACCCGCGCTTCAGTACCTCTGTTGCGCCAGGTTGTGCGCGCCTCCCCCCCCTCCTCCTCCTCCGCCTCCTCCTTCTCCTCCTCCTCCTCCTCCTCCTCCCCCTCCTTCTCCGCTCCGTGGCCAGTTTGGCTCAAGTCCGTAGCGTTTCGCTCAGTGCTTGAGATTCTGGCAAGGGGATCAGCGGCCCCACCTGCATTCCCTGGCATCACCAGCCAGGCCTCATCTCGCATGAGGTAACCTATGTGCCGTCACGTACACGTTTTCTTTTCCAGTGAACTCCTGCAGGAGCCCATGCCGAAGGATGCTAAATTATATATCACTTGCTTGGCGTGCAGGTATCGATGGGCTTTCAAAACGAACGCGTTCTGCTACACCTGCAACGCGACCCTCCTCCCGAACGAGATGCCGCGGAGGGCCGCCCAGGGTGTCTGGCCCCCCCCCCGCCGGAAGGTCGGGGTGGCCAACCTGCTGGTGCGGAAGTGCCAGCCTACCCACCAGGCACGTGGCCGCAGTGGGGAGGGCCGCCTGCGAGATTGGCGCCGCCCCGCTCCTCCACTCCGCCGCAGAGGGCCCCTAGACCACCGACGCCCTCTTGGACGAGCTCAATCAAGGCCAGGGTCGGGAACGCGGCGGGTGCACGGCTGGAGGCGCCCCAGCAGGCTTTGGCGCGACGGCCAGCGCCGAAGCCCCCCCCCCCGCGCGAGCCCCTGCTCGAGGAGACAGTCTCGGCCAAGGGGGCGGCCTGCCGCAGGGCCCAGCAGCGGTCGCGAGAATGCGCGGCGAATGAGGGCGAGGCGGCCAAGTGGTTTGAGCAGCTGCGGGCCGCCACGGTCACGACGCCGAGCAGGCTTGGAAGGATGAACTACGAGGTCGAGCTCCAGCGTGCAGGTGGGCACCGACCAGGACCACCTGACGGAGCAGCCGAGAAGATCGTAGGCTCACAGATCAACTTGTCGGAGCTGCTCACGGGGGAGGGCGGCGTCGACACAGTCGAGATTGTGGACGGGTCCGTGCTCGATCTCTCGGACTTGGAGCTCGACGATTCAGATAAGCAAAGCTGGGCCGCTCTCAAGGCAAACATGGCATCGCAGATCAGAGAGGCAATGTCGGCGGCAATCGGGCCCAGCGCTGAGCACATCCAGAAGCTCAGGCAGGATGCGAGAGAGAGATGCGACAGCGGCTCGCCAGCAAAAGGGCCCGCAGGGAAGACGGGGGTGGAGCGACGCCGCCAGCAGCAGGGGCACCGGCGGCTCCGGCCGAAGTGGCGCCCATTGCTGGGGCAGCGTCTTCTGCGGGCCCTGCTGTCGCTGGTGCTGCTCCTGCAGCCGCTGCTGACACAGGCCAATCACAGCCAAAGCAGCGCGACCCAGACCAGATCAAATCTATGGTTGAAGCAGCCCGAGCTCACAATGCAGAGTCTTGCCTTTGATGGGGTCACTGGGTACCCTGTGACCAGTGAAACTTGTTTTTTTCGGGCATGCCCTGTGCGACCTTTTCTCGGGGCACATGGGCCTGCCGCCCGAGCGCGACATCCCTGCCGGAGATCCCGACAGGAACCGGCACCATTTTTTAGAAGCCGCGCAGGTCTGGAGCGCCAGATGGGTTTGGGATTTGAGAGGCGAAGTGGCAGATGGCCTTCTGTCGGGGCAAGACTGGTGTGAACGATGCACGGCTTCTTTTCTGCAGGAACCAGACGCGGCGGCTCTGCGTCGGGCAGTTCTTGCGCGCTGCAGACGGGGCGCGCTGACGGAAGCCATTTCAGACATCTGTCTAGCTGCTTGGTCAGGAGGGCGGCCACTCAGACAGCCTTTCTCCCGCATGATGCATGCTCTGACTGCAGACCTCTAGGGCGTCTTTGCGCAGCACCGCTGGCAGGAGCTCGACAACCTGCTGGCCGTTTTTCGAGCGCAGCTGGAAATGCTCGGGAGGGCGGCAGCGGGGCGCCACGGCGCCCTTGGGGAGCCCATGGGGCAGACCCTACATGGGGCGAGGTGGCGGTCGCCGTTTGGGGGGCGCTCTGGCGGCCTCAGGGAGCCGCAGCGACAAACCCTAAAGGGAGGTGGAGGTAGCGGGCTCTTGACCACTGCCGCAGACACGCGGGCGGGCGACCCCCCTGGTCGAGCCCAGCCCCCCGTCAGTGTCGCGGATGCGCGGGTGGCCGAGTCCACTGGCGAGAGCGACCCCTCCCAAGCTGCTCGC